AGAAAACGAAACGAACGTTCGTACGAACGCTACCGAATTTCGGAAATGGAAATTCGGATTCGTTTGCATTCGTTATGTCTGTAATTCGGAATTCGGATACATCCGAATGTCCGAATTTCGATTCGGAACGAAACAAATCGCACATGTCTACTGCTTAGGATCAATTAACATTTCTAAATGTTCCCTATACGATAGCATGCCTTCGGTCTTGTTCACTTTACATATCATTTTCTTGGTTATGTGTTTAGATGAAGCATTTAGATATTGAGGAACGCTGAATTAAGTTTTACTTGCTTAGGAGAACGTTACATCAGAATACAGCATTATACAGAATACAGAGAGCACTTCCTGTATATGTCATAGATAAGTATGAACATACAGACTGGCATAAACTAGCATTGCACTACAGCGCCATCTACAGCTCAAAAAAACATAATATATGCTGTTGTATTTCCAACAACTTTGCTAATGGTCGACCTGAAAAGGTAACTGAAGTCATAAAGGCCACCAAAGACGGGGGTTGGAGCAGAGAGGGAAGCAAGCGGCATTTTGGCTTCAGATTAAAGCTGGCCATGCACTGGTAGATTTTCATTCAAGCCACCCACATTTTGCATGGAGACAGTCATATTCTCCAATTATGCTGAATTAGGTTGCTTGAATATCCAACAACCTTATAAATATGAATAAATGTTTAGTAGACTTTTTGCTTTACTTTTTATACACGTAATACCGAACACTACTCTTAGAAGGATCTCTCTCATGGATTTTTGTCTCTCTTTTTTCTTGTAGTCTTTGCTTCCTTCTGCTCATCCAGAAGAGTGGAGTCTGTTATGTGGGAAGCATTTCACAAAGAACATACAGCACTGGAGAGCCACCAGCAAAATCTAACGCGTCCTTCCTAATTAATGACCAAAGCATCTGTAGTAGAATGCACGTGTCCATATACCTTCACATAAGTACGCATCTGGGTCAACATGTGTATACCCACACTTTGTACTTTGTATAGCCAGGTGTAGCAACTAACAACTATAGTCACACTGAAGGTTCCAGGAGCCAAACATATTGACTCCTTGCTGGTGATCACAGTCAGTTTGCAAGTGATCACATGGCAGAGCAGTGTTACAAAAACACTGTTTTGTCATAGAGATTTATCTCCCTTGGTAGTGTCTTGCTGATCCTCTTACCTCATTGTAAATCTGCTATACGGGGTCTGTCTAATTAAAAATGAGGGCGCCTCTTTTTTTTTTACATACCATTCTGGGGGCGGTAATAAAAAGTGTCCATTAATATTAATACTACTGCCTGACATAGATAACAATCTACTTTGATTTGATCACATGATGATTATAAAAATGTTATTCTGCTTTACTCTGAAATAAATCTATTGTTATGATTTTTAGGTTTGTATAGTTGGCAAGCATTATTGTTCAATTCTTTTATCATTTATAGAATATCTAAAGTCTCTAAGGATGTGATACACTCACAATGTTTATGGCGGCCAGAGACAATGTAATCTTTGTCGAGGCTTTAAGTCACATTGAAAGTTAGAAGCAGAATTTTGTTATTAATTGGTAGAAGGAGAACTTTTTCACTCAATACAATGAAGTGATTTCTAATTCCTGGGGTGACTTTTCACGTGAAGTGTGCATTTTAATAAAAGGTAGACTCGAATCTATGTCTCACTTCTTTCATCTATACCTCTTTTCTTGTCACTTTACACCTAATACCTAACGTGCAATAGCATCTGCGTTCAACCTTCTTCCATTATCCATGCTAATGCAGTCATTTCAGTTTTTCTTGTTACAAAGTGAGCTGTAGAACAGATATGTCTGACCTCAGGAAGAGATGGAACCACTTGATAGTATATCTGTAAATTGTATCATGTCAGACAAGAAAAAGAGCTCTGCTATCTAATTTAATACTATGTTAGGGTTATTGTAGCTTGGCTAGCTGGGGATGAGCTTATTAGATATGCCTATTCTTCCATGACAATTCATGAATCCAACTTATGATCTCTATACAAGTCATTCTTGGAGCAAAGTTCCCATGTACTTTGCTCCAAGAATGGAGATTGTAGTCCATCACAGGAATGAGCTTGGATAGGCTCCAATGTGGTTAGGTAATTCAACCAGTACCCACGTTCCATCCTGATTATGTGCACGCTGAGCCTGCACTGATTAGGTGCAATAATGTCAATGAGTGCAGACCTGGGCGATCCGGGACACGTGTCGTGCACAATTGCACACAGCGATTGCCGCGCGGCCCCGTTGACTTCAATGGGGTTACATCTGCGTGCAATCACAAAAAAAGGTACATGTACCTTTTTTGAGACACACGGCTGTTTTAGCCGCGATCGTGTACAGCTGCACAAGTGGAATCGCAGTGGGAAATCGCGCAATCCGCCCAGCATGACTGGGGTGCCATTACAAAATAATGGCACCGCCAGCGCAATCGTCGGTAGTGGGCAATTATGTGACCGCATGGCAATCTGAGCGGTATCATGCACGATACCGCGCCATGATCTTGTTACTTTCCACCTACTGGACAAAACAACAAGTTCACTTTACAGAAGGGACTTTAAGCATATTCAACCTGCCTTCAATGTTCTTCCCAAACTACTGTCAGCCTGCCCACTACTTTTAGGTATAGAGGAACATGTGAAACCCCCCTATCTCCTCGCAATCCAGTGATCAATTCCTGGGCCAGTGCTGCAAAATGGGGGAGAACAGAGGTCCATAGCTGTGTAGAAGATTAAAATCAAACCTCACACAGGACGGTGCCAGAAGTTTCTCCCGGCTCCCGCTGCACTCAATGGGACTTCTCGTAGGTTCCTACGTCACTACTGGGTCCTAAAGTGACATAGGAGGAAGGAGATGGAGGCACAGTGCACTGCGTGGGACACAGGAGCTCAACAAGCTCAGAAGGGTTAAATGCTGAGGATTCCGAGATCCTCTCAGCACTGCTGCAGTCAGAGGAGAGGAAGGGGGAAGGGCTATTACACACCGTGAGAGGAGCCGACAGCAAGAGCCGGCAACTGACATCGCTTGGGTATGTGCAGCTTACTTAGAGAGTCACGATCCGGTTTGAATACTGTGTACGGGCATCAGGTGGGGTGATTCCCGGGCACAGGATTCAAATCCCGGACTGTACAGGTGGCAACCCTAGTCGCGACCCACCTTCGGGTCACGACCCACTAGTTGAGAACCAAGGGTCAAGAGAACCCTGCAAGGGAAGGGGAGCCACTCTAACACTAGAAATGTTTCTATGTAAATTGCAGAGAGATGACAGGGGAAAATAGAAGGCAATCATCAAACAAAGTAGGTGCAGATATTTGCTGTTGTCAGGGCCGTATTTCCCACAAGGCCACCGAGGCAGCGGGGAGTAGGGGGGCAGCACAACGCCAGGCAGATAGTTTTTCTCTACATTTAGCCCTGCTGTGGGCAAGCAGGGTAAATGTAGAGCGGGGAAGCCACCACTCGGTTTGTACAAGCGATCTCAGCAATGCCACCGAGATCACTTGTAATAAGCCTGCAGGTCTGTTCCCCGCCACCCCCCCCCCCTTCATGGTCTT